TACTGTGTTGGTGTTCTAATGAAGATGCACTTACCTCAGCATGCTAAAAGCTAGAAGCATCTCCAACTGATCTGCTGTCAACCAATAAGCATTTAATTAATTTAAGGAACTGTTATAGCATTGAACTTTGGTTCTTGTGTCATCAGAGATAGGTAAGCATCAGTTACCATTAAAAAAGCTACAGTATACCACCAAATAACTACATTGAGACCCACTTTTAGAGGTGCCTTTAGGAGTCTAAACAGACTTAGGAGTCTAAACAGACTCCTAAAGGCTTTTCCTTGTGTGAAAACACCCATAGGGTGTCACAATGTTTCCCCTGCATCCATATTTAGTAGTGCACTGCCAGTGGGCTGGCCGAAAGACAGTCCCTTTTACTTAAAAGTGGAAATAGACATGGAAAAACCAACATGTAGAAAGTAAAAATCAGCTCCTATCATTTTTATTAAGATAACCCTCATCTAAAAGTGCAGTTTAGCAGGAACAAATGTAGAGAAGCTGTGCTTCTTTTTTAGCCAAGGTTACCATTTAATGAGAATCTTTAACCTTTCCATGTCTGGTTTGCTGATCCTGAAATATGTTCAAAATAAGGAGCATAAAAAAATGATATAAAAGCCATGATTCATTAAAACACTACATTATGTACTCTATTCCTAATACAGACACCCTATACAACACAGGGGCCTCATAAGTGGAACAGTGGATTAGACCAAGCGTGATGTTCCACACAATATGCTCAGTGTCTTAATGTTTAGTAATGCATAAAAGGTTTTTTTTTTAGACCTGCCCTCATATAGTACATGTAAAAATAAGGAATCTTGTAAAAAAAAAAAAAAAAAACAGCGTAATATTTTAGACGCATCTTGTGGTTGTGGTCATATTGAACTATTATGTTTTTATATTATAAAAGCAATAAGTAAGAAATTGATTTTTTGTTTAAAATGAACCAAAATTGCTGTGTGTTGTGTTTGCTGGTCAGATTTGAAATGCTGTCATTGGTGTTATTACAAAGAGTGTGTGGTTCTATGGCTTTCTGTGGTTGAGGTGAGATTAAGGTTGTTTCTAAATTTGATATAGACCATATCATTTTCACTGTTTAAGGTTCTCCTTCAGGCGATAAGTCCTATAATTGCATTTTCAGCGCATGCACTTCGAAACGCAGTCCTGTTTGATTGTTGTTAACTCTGGCTTCTTCTTTTAAGACGGAAGTTCACCTTTGACCCCACCTTTAAACAGGCTTTAATAATGAGGAATAGAGAAGACCAAAATCAAGAGTCTTGTTTCAGAGCTTTGTATGATCATCAATCCTTTGACAGATGCAGCTGTAGTCTGTTAGGACACTGAGCCCTGATTACAGTTATAGTTAAGAGATGGCCTCATGTGCTAGCAGGCTTGAAGCAGAGTCTAAGGGGACTTTTGTATCATCTTGGCACTGAAAATCAAATTTTCCCACAAGTTAACCACAGAGATGTTGGTTGGACCAGTAATCTGGTCAAATAAGTTAGTGTAAGATAAATAGTGAACTTGGGCTGTAATTTTAGAGGAGACTGACTGAATTTTGCTTTAGATTTTATTGGAATTAGGGCTGCAACTTAATAATATTTAGCAAATCGATTAATCTTTTTATTATTTTTTCGATTAATAATAATAGCCAAAGATTCTTTAAAGAAGACTTTTTTACAAAATTAACAAGTTTAAGTTTCACAAGGTGAAACTTAAACTTTTCCATTTGAGGAGTTCTGGATAGAGCATATCGACAGAATTGTTTCTTTTTCATCTTAAATGCAAAACCTTTATATATTTTTTTGCACAATCTTGGTATAATTACTGCTCTAAGTGGGTCGCTCTGTCAGCTAAAGGCATGTTTTAGAGTCATTATACTCCAGTTAACGATTAATAGATTACTAAATTAGTTGTTCAATAATTGATTAATCCCAATTAATCCGATCAATTGTTTCAGGCCTAGTTTGAATGTATACTAAGCATATATACTTGGATGTATTAGTGTGTATACTCTATAGTATACACCTCCATATACATCTTTATACTAGTTAAATAAATATATGCTGCACTTTCATTAGTAATACTTGAAGATTTGCAAAAAAAATAAAGAAATAAGTCTCTGGAGTAGCTTTTAAACAAATACAATGATTCAGTTTAAAAATATTATTAAAATTTCCTTTTCATCATATGCAACAATTATTGCATCCTTAACATTTCCTGTAAAACAGGTGGGGAAAAAAGACCCTAGAACATGTCAGTCGGATGAAGCAGAATTTGTTGACCATTACAATTAAATGGAGGAGCACAAAAGTTACTCACCTGGGCGTTGTTTATTCTTCTGACCTTCCATGATAATAGACCATGTAAGGTAAGAAGAACAGATAATATTTTTTAAGTAAGACAGATTTCTGTTTATAGCCCTATAATTTAGGAATTGCTTACAAAAATTAAAACAAAACAAAAAAAACAATTGATCTGTGCCAAACCAGACCTGAGCTAATGCAATCAGTGCGCACAGTGAGCAGCTTGGTAATGAGGGAAAATAATCTCTGATTTAAAGTTCCAATGTTCCACTGGAGTGATGGATTGATTTATCAGGATGTACTTTACGCACCTTTGCCACAAGTGCCAAACATTGGGAAGGACACAATGTTCTTTACTCCACTTTTTAGTTATTCTGCCATGCCGACTGCAGGAACTAATGGTTGTTTTAATCCCTTGTTTATTAGTATAGCACTAAATCATAAATGATATAGTAATGACAGCCAGAGCTGAAGCAGGAACTTCTAGTGTTTCAGAGATAAATCAAGTTACATTGGCTTTGAATAAACCTCTGTATGGAAGAAAGTTCCAGTTTCCAGCTCTTCACCCTAAACTGGAACAAATAATTCATGTTCTCCTGTTAAATTCAATTCAATTTAGTTTATTTATAGAACGCCAATTCACAACACAGGTCATCTCAAGGCACTTTACAGTTCACCAGATCATCCAGTCAAACTGATTCAAAGTTTTCTATTTAAGGAAAACCAGTTGATCTCATTGACTCGAATGCAATCCCTCAAACTAAGCATGCTTGTAGTGACAGTGGAGAGGAAAAACTCAAGAAACCTGTAGCAGAACCAGGCTCAGTGTGAGCGGCCATCTGCCGAGGCCGACTGAGGTTCAAGGAAACAGAAGCAGACATACAGAAAGAAGCGGAGAGTGGGAGAATAGAAATATAATGAAGCAGAATGATGAAATAGGGGTCCCTGTGTCCTCCAGAAGTCTAAGCCTATAGCAGCATAACTATAGAGATGCTCAGGATAACCTGAGCCACTCTAACTATAAGCTTTATCAAAAAGGAAAGTTTTAAGCCTAGCCTTAAAAGTAGACAAGGTGTCTGCCCCAAGGACGAAAACTGGTAGTAGGTTCCACAGGAGAGGAGCCTGATAACTAAAAGATCTGCCTCCCATTCTACTTTTAGAAATTATAGGAACAACTAGTAAACCTGCAGCTTGAGAGCGAAGTGCTCTGTTAGGAACATAAGGAACAGTCATATCTCTGATGGAGCTTGGCCATTTAAGGCTCTATATGTCCTTTATAGATCCACTGTCCATCAATGTGGGTTTTCATAGTTTTAACTGTCATTGTTTGAGGTACAGTAATTGGAATTTGACGCTTCAAAAAATAAAAAAACCTCATTTACACTACCCTCCGAAAACCGATCCGTGCCGAGCTTGGTTCTGTACGACAATTTACACATCATACTATCAAAGTTCCTCGCCTCCTGTTGACGATTTATGATACTACTGCTCTTTAGAGGGAAACAAGCAAATCAACATGGCGACAGCCGTAAAATTCAGGAAGTTTGCGGAGAGTCAGGCGAAGAAGGCAGCCTTTGGTGGATGGCTTTTGTCGGCTTTTGGGAAGTGGATACGACAAACGATAGTCTAATCAGGGCTTACAGACACAGGACACAACGACAGACATTGAGGTTCATCACACTGCTAGGCAGAATCATCAATGGTAATCTTGTGGCAGGGTATGAAGCTTGTATTTTTATAAATGTCTGAAATTTCATGGTTACTGAGGCTGACTGTATGGAGATGATGCGGTCTGCTCATGCACTTGTTATCTGAGAACTGAGCCAGACCTGAACTGTGCTGGGCCCTACTGACGATCTAGTACCAGTTTAACATGGTTTTGGTTGTGTCTGGCACAGTCTGGTTCAGTTGTGCATGCCATTTACACTCAACAGTTATCTCGGTTACCGTGCTCAGACCAATCGGGGCACAGTTTGAAAAGTGTAGTGTAAATGGGGCTAATGATTGCTGAATAACTTAGAGTTCTGGTGGCCCCTCTTCTACTGTAACACAGACCAAAACTCAAACTTGTAACAGAAACCATAAATATTGGTTCAAATTATGACTTATAACTTTATTGAATGTTAATTCAATCTATTCATTTGTAATTTAGGAAATATAAAAAAAATAAAAAAGCAGTAAATGTCAGAATTTAAACCAGTTTGAACGAATGTTCAAACTGTTCTCATCCCAACAGTTTCTGTGATATTTCATAGAATTATGTGGGCATAGGCTGCTGGCTGTGACAATCTTCCTGGCCAGCTAAAATTTCTATTATACCCTTATTATTTCAGAGTAAACAGCAAATAGGAGTGAGTCAACTGCAGAGATGAGTTACAGTTTTCTCTGCAGATAGAATATCTACATGAGCTGTTTTATTTAGAAGAATATCTCCTCTTATTGATTTGTTCTTTATATCCAGCAAGCTTATTTGATTTATTTATTTAATTACTGTATATACTGGTTGGGTTTGTTTTTTTTTTAGGTATTTAGAAGGGACCAGTCTAAGTTTCTTTGAATTTATATTTAAAAAATTATCTTTAGATGCAAACCCTCTATATATATATATATATATATATATATATATATATATATATATATATATATATATATATATATAATGGCTAACTTTGGTTTCTTTTTTTTGCCTTTCAGATGAGTTAGGGAGGGTGGAGCTGCCATCATTATGATGTGGGAAAAATGAGGAAAAAATGCATCGAGTCTTCTTCTTAGGATCTTTGCCACCTCTAAACCACCCATGAGATTGCCCAGCGTATGTTTCTTTTGCTTCAACGCACAAAAAATAATAATTATACTAAAATTACTTGAAGTGAGATTTAAGGTAGCTCTTTATAGTTATTTTCCTGTATGAAGTTCATTAGGGGATGTTATTGAATGTAGAGATACTTTAATGTGTAATGAGTCATTAGAAATGTAATTCTCAGGAAGTCTTGAGCTGTTGATGATTCTTAAACCTTTGTTTTTTTAGGAATCGGTGATTGACAGGCCTCATTCTCTGTAATGGAAAATCGTGGTGAGTACCAACTGGCTACTTGTGGATTGTAAAGCAGTGGTGATGCTACACAAAAAGAAAGCCGTGGATTCACATTCTTTATCGTTTTTTTTCTGCTTTCCCTCATTTTAAGAGGCTCTCAAAGTTAGAGGAACACATCCTCACTAAATTAGTGCATGTTGGTTTCCCCTCCAGATGTGGCTGTTTTTTCCTGGATTTAACATACAGTATCTCTGAGTCCTTTATTTAGGTTCTGACTCCAAAATCTTTTTTTTTCTTTAAGGAATAAAATGTTTTTATTTCATCAGCCCAAATGAACCTCTTAGATACTTGCATGGTTACATTGATTCTTCTTTTCTTTAACCTTTAAGCAGCTTTGTAGTTAAAAACACATGCCTGCGCCTTGTGGTATGAGATGATTGTACACCTCTGGCATGGCATCAGGGCGTCATATAACTTTGACCAACAGAGGGTGGCAGTAACCCTGCCACACAAAATGACTACAAACATGCTGACCGGCATGGGTCACTTTCCCCATCATGATAAAGACAGAAAGTGATGCGATTACGTTTTCCTGAGAGAATGTATATTTATTCAAATTATGCAGGGTTGACATTCAGGCAATTCGGCTACCTGCTGGGATCTATACGTTTACTTTGAACTTATCAAACATAAAGTTATATTTGTCAGTTTCAAGGCACATCAGTTGCTGACGAGGGGGGAGAGGGGTTGATGGCAGTGCAGAAATATGGTTGAAAATCAAAGTTAAACGTTTTTTATTTTCAACATCGTCTTATAATATTGTTTCACCACATTTAGATTAATTACCTCATCGCTATTTATTTTTCATACAGCCACTGGAAACAGAAATTTAGTTCAATCCAACTGCAGGCATTCGGGAAATAAGGATTTTACCATGCTATGTGTTGGTTCTCATGCGAAATGCTGTCTTACTTCAGACAAAACAATACAGCTTTTGGCCACTGGGGGAGCCAAACACACCAAAACTGAAAGTTCTTTAGAACTGCTTTAAGAGCCTCCATGGACTTGTTCCTTCATACCTGTCGGAGTGGCTATACCATTATAGCACTTTCTCAGGTCAGCTGAACAGTTACTCCTTAGTGTTCCCATAACAAGGACTAACTTCTTAAAACTCGTCACTTTGCCTTAGCTTTTAACACCATGTGAAATTTTTATTTCACTTTGTTAGGCTAGTTCTTATTATATGAGCGGTTATATGTTTTGTTTTTATGTGTTTTGGGGTTCAGTGTTCCATGTTTCTTTGCATCAGTTCATTTTAATTATCTCATGCATTCTGGACAGCACTTGGTTCCTGTGACAATGCAAAATGCTTTGTAAATACAGCTGGACTTGATTTAAAGTTGTTTTATTTTAATTATTTTAGGTTTTAAAGAGTTATCAATAGTCCGGTAAGATTTTACTGAAAAATATTTTTAGATCGGCCATTTTATTTGACCTTTTATGAGTAAAACATTGTTTGACGTCCAGAGTGACACCTCATTAGTTCAGCGCCGATGCACCTATAAGCCTGTAGCCTATTTTCCCTGAATGTACTTTGGGTCAAAAGTTCCCGCGCTCCTTTGTGGATGTGACGTCAAGCGCGTCCATGTAAAATGGGCCAACCTAGCAAGCAGTGGAGGCCTTTGGTTCTACCCCTTAAAGCTCATCAAGAGAATGCCAGTAAATACTGTGTGAAGCAGTAAACACATTAAAAGGTGGCTACTTTGCAGAACCTAGAATATAAGACATATTTTCAATTGTTCACACTTTTTTGTTAAGTATATAATTCCACATGTGTTAATTCATAGTTTTGATGCCTTCAGTGCAGTGTGAATCTTCAATTTTCAAAACTCTTTGAATATCCATCCATTATCAGTCACGCTTATCTCGAGCGGGGTCACGAGGGGTGCTAGTGCCTATATCCAGCCAGCTGTCTAAGGGCGAGAGGCGGAGTACACCCTGGACAGGTCGCAGGGCCATCGAAGGGCAACACAGAGACAAACAACCATTCTCACACACACCTAAGGGGACTTTAGAGAAGCCAATTAACCTAACTGTCATGTTTTTGGACTGTGGGAAGAAGCCGGAGTACCCAGAGATAACACATGCATACACAAGGAGAACATTCAAACTCCATGCAGACCCATCAAATTCAGGACCTTCTTGCTGGAAGGTTGCAATGCTACAAACTACCCCACCTCAGCTTGAATCCCTAAAGTTTGATTCCTCTTTTCTATGGTTGCCTTTCTAAAATGGGTCAGGTCAGCAAACGGTTCTGGGCTCATGCGGATTGGCTTAGTTCTCTGGATGCTGACCGGGTGTAAGGGTGGTTGTTAGACACCTGGAGAAAGCAGGGGCAATTCCAAATAATTTAGATCTTGCTTTTTATAGGCAGCTCAAGAAGCAGCCTTAATGCCCTGAAACCTTGAGTCTGCTCAGGCAGAATGAGACAGCTAGGTGAACTGGACCCCTCAATGGGACAGCTGGGTGAAGTTTACTGAGGTCAGTCAAACCTCAACAGGAATCCAAGCCCTGAACCATGGAGCCTAGCTTCTTATACTCGCTATTTTTTAAATTTTGCATTGGCCTTAAAACCAGAATGTTTTCCTTGGCATATGTGCCTCAGAGTCACAGTAATTTCTTTAAACCTGTCAGAAATGTCATAGAGGACATGAAAGTGTTCTGAGCAGTATGATAAATGCCCCCTACCATTTTTCACAAAAGCAATAAACGGACACGAGTATTTATACCCCTCACAAGTTGTCACATCTAAATAACTAAAGCCCCTTTCACACCTTGACAATTTAGCCAGCCTATGCCTGACATACAAAAAAAACTAGCAAAAACGCAGGCACATGTTGGATACGTTTTGGGTCAATTTTGTATAAGTTATGAGCACGCTGACATACAGCAAGTATGTTGAAAAATTTTGAACATGCTCAAAATGTTTTTGGCGTATGCCAGCATATACCATACGTGGGGCTTAAGTTACAGGTAAGTTATCTGATCGTTGACGTACGTTAAGAGTAAGTCACTCATAAGTCGTGGTGTCTTGCTTAACCAAAACCTATGAGTAACATGTGCATAAATATAACTTATCAAAAACTTATCTCGGCACATAGCAACGTTAGGCTGTAGTTGGACATAAGTTCTGGAGTCATTATGAATACTAATCATGTATATGTCCAAAATTGAAAAAACACATAGAAAGTTGCTGGTGAAGATTCTCAGTCATCCAGGTCGTAGTCATTCCAATTAAGTTTAAAAACAATCCACTGGGTTTTGTTTCCATGTTTGAAGACATTTCGCTTTCAATTCAGGAAGCTTTTTATATTGAAAATGTCAGAAATAGCGTTGAGTTCGTGGCTCTTATACAGTAGCCCAACAAAGCCTTTAGAAAACATGCAAATTGAAATTAACAAATGAGTCCACCCCTTACATAGAAAGTTCAGTGCATGCCAGCGTTTTAGAAGAATCTTGGACGTCAGGCATGCGCTGGATAAATCGTCAAGGTGTGACAGCGGCTTAACTCCAATAGTTTTTATTCTGATTTTATGTATTAGACTTAAATGCCTCAAATTGTGTGGTAGAAAGAAAATGAAAAAGAAAGAGGAATATTTGTTCTGTGTTTGTATTCAATTTTCCTGAGTCATTATTTAGTTGCAATTAATGCCACAGGCCTTTAGTAACTTGTTTCTACCAGCTTTGCACATTTAGAAACTGATTATTTTGCTCAGTATTCTCCTAAAACCAATATTAACTTAAGTCAATTTGAGTTAATCAGCAGCTCACAGATTTACCAAATTTTATTTTTGATTTGGGCCTGAATTTTGACCAGGTAATTCAAATGAGCGTATGATTCCACCGTAGCTTCGGCTGTAGGTTTGGTCCGTTTTGATAAAAAAAGTCAACCATCGACTGTTTTTTGTTTCCAATCTTACTCTTTTATGAGTTATATATCTCTAGTCCGCACTCTGCAGATTTGTATTTATAAAACAAAAACCAGCCAGCCTCGACCCTAAATAGACAATAATGGACTGCTTTGTGTCGGCTTCTCACATAAAACCCACTAAATGACCTTAATGTTTGTGGTATCTTTGTTGGAGAGAAAAGCAAAAGTTCAGGAAATATGAATACTTGGTAATTGAATTTTATTTACATGCATATTTTAATACATGAAAATTACTTGAACTAAAAAGTAGTTTCCAACTTTCCCTGGTTCATTTAAATGTCCTGGCGTCTACATTCACAACTTGATCTACAGAATACCCTGCATACTGCGGTATGCACGCCAAATTAAAAACATAACCGTCTTTCTCCCTGGAATGGCAGGCATCCTTCGGGGACTGCTGATCTGTGCTGCGAGCCAAGCAGGGAGGGTCCTTGAGTGTGGGGGAGAGGGAGTCCAGCTCCTAGAGGGAGGGAGAGTCTTGAGGAGATTGGAAGAAGGAGGGACAGGGGGAAGGACTGAAGTGGAAGGCATAGAGTAAAAGTAGATGAAAGAGACAGTGCTGTTTTTGAAGAAGAAGGAAAGCAGGTGCAGCTGCTGATCTGTCTGGGTTTGTGCCCACGGTGCTTGGTGCAGAGCAGGTAGAGGCCCCTCAGGGGCTGGATCATGGGACAAAGCCTTCGTGTGGAAATCCCAGCTCAGGACCTACAACAGCACAACTCCTGCGGTGAGTTTTTGACCTTACTGAGGGCTCACTTTGTCAAAGAACAGGATTTACTTTCGTCTTCGCCAACACGCAGTTTAAATCTGTTCCCTCATTTGATGTTGCTTTCAAAGACTTTGAACATCTTGGAGAGAGGGGGGGCTGAAGATTGTGTAATCATCTTTGCATGGCCTGCTCTCTCCCTCTCTCTGTTCCCCTCCTTCACGTTCACCAGGAATGTTAAATCATGGGATCATGTGTATGAAGCTCAGCTGTGTTTTTAAACACTCATGCATGTGGTGTACATTTAACCTCCAGTCACAGTGCACAGTACATGATTTGAAATTT